CCTGCTGCCAGGTGCGCGGCCGTGCCTCCCCGCCATGACCGCCGGCTCCCGTGGCTCTGCCTCCCGCTGCCCTTCCCCCGGAGCCACTCCGGAGGCCGGCACCTCGCTCCCCCCGCAGCCACAAAAAACCAGCCCCCTGCAGCCACGGCTCCCGGGAGGGGCCCCGGGGAAGGTCTCCCCGGCCGGGGCTGGGGTGGGTCGGGGCCGAACTTTTCCCCCTCCCGGAGGAATGAGGAAGGGCCGGTGCCGGCCTGCGGGGCTGCCTCTCTAGCCTGCGTTGGGGCCGCGGTTGTTAGCTGTGCCTCGGCAGCCCCGCAGCCCCGCCGCCCGTGTCTCCCTCACAGGCAGCTGCGGGGCGCGTATTGCTCCTTTCCAGAATTCAGGTTTTGCCAGGCTTTCATTCCTACGACTGCCAAATACTCCACGCCTGTCTTTTTTTTTTGCCGACCTTTTCCCACCCTCTCGAAAGCCCAAGTTTCCTGGGAAATAGCACGGAAGTTTATTATATTTGAAAAACGTTTAATCTTCTTTCTGTTTCAACCCAAATTGTCATCAGCCATTAAGCTTGGTCTATAAAAGCAGGTGGGGGAATTTGCTAATAATGAGTGTAACAACCTGATAAATTGTGCGCTACTTCAATCTCCAGTAGAGTGAGAGTGGTTTTTTTCAGAGTACCTCTTGAATCTTGTTAGGCACCTTTCGTATTAATATCTGTATGTATTGGCATCATTTCACTAAAACACGGAATTTGGCAGCCCTATCATTTCTGCTTAAAAAAAACCAAAGTGATGGAGTAAGACTCTTACACGTGAATATAGAACTATGTGAATGGAGCCACCTAGAGATACTTGCTGCAGAATTATCAGGCCTCCCTTGCTTTACAGACTAGATCCTGCGTTTCCAGATATTGGAAATGTTAATACATTTCCTCACATCTCCTTCACAACTTGCTGCAGTCCTCCTAACATCTCGGCATGAATCTTTTCTAAAGACGACTTGATGAATGTTATCAGCATGCTAAGGATTTACTTATAGAGGTCCATGTTGATAAGCTCAGTAAATATTTTGCTTAAGGTTATACTCCCTCTGATTTATCAGAGTTCGGCTTTAGCTGTAGAGCCTGCTTCAGACGGTCTGTGGTTTTCAAGCATCAGAAGATGAGGTAATGGCACTCTTAGCCCTTGAGTATTGGAAGTATATGGAAGTACCTGCTTGGCCCAGTAAAGAAGCTCTGGAGCACTCTTGCTTGAATTTGACCTCCAAACGAAGCTTAGACTGCCAGTGTTTTCAGAATGTGAGCTGCACCTGTGGTGGTTGTAGTTCCTTTGTCCAAAGACAGGGTAAGAAGCGGGTATATTTCTTCACTGAAACCGCTAGACCGGTGGAGGACTCTGGAGCACGTAATAGCTGTCAGTGCTTTGGGGATTAAAAACTGTTCTGTTGAATTGCATATCTGTTCCTCATGCTTTTTCCCTTTCTTTCACACAAAGTAACACCCACACTGAGAGTTAGAAAAACTGAAAGAGGCGTTGCACCATTTATAGAAGTTGATCAGTAAAGTTTCTGTGAGCTTTGCAGCTCTAGGTTTTATGGGATTAAGTCCTGAAACAGAATGTGCTGTAATACTCAGAAGCTATGGTACGGGACTGGTTAAGCTGAATGAATTGAGTAGCATCTTTTCTATTTAAAAAAAAAAAATATATATATATGGTGTATGGTGGCTTCTTTCCGTTTCAGTTCAAATTTTATAGAAAAGGAGGGAGTATGGAGCTTCATCACCAGTGAGCAGTTTACCCATGAAGTCAAGTATGTAGATAATTGCAGAGGACTTTACTGTGCTGCTGATTGTGTTCGCAAGCACTTATTTCAGGAGATACTGGCATTTGTAAAATGTGCTCTTTTTAGTACCTGCTGACATTACGCCCCAGTTGTCTTTCCAGGAACTTGTTGATATTAGGACATGATACTCTTGTAACTACAACTCCTTAGGCTGTGGTCTAGGACTTCACTTGTTCATTAGATTTTAAAGAATACAGGGTCTGTTGTTTGGGTGGAGAGATGACAGAGAAGACATAACTGAGGGAAAACTTCAGCTACTCATGTAGAAAAACAGTTTCAGGGGTTTTTGTTTTGTTGTTTGTTTGTTTGTTTGTTTGTTTTTCGTTTTAAATATGCAAGTGAAGCTAAAACCCTGAAAGTTTTGTCCAGGTTAAACGTATCTGGTTCTGCCACAGTGTTTACTGTTATGTGTGGGCTGGTGGTGGTGTTGGGAAAATAAATCCTAAATCAGTAACTTGGTAACTATCTTTGGGGTTAATATTAGTGTTTATGTGACAGTGTGTGCATTGGAAACTGCACATTTGGTAAGCTCTTGTCTGCTCACAGTAGTAACAGAAGCGGAGATCTACCCCGATCTCTGAGTCCTTCTTTAGCTTGTCCTTCTCTAGCCTGTACGACGATATTGTGACCAGAGTCACTGTTCCTGTTTATCTGCATTTCCACACCCACTTCTTTGTGGGGCATTTGCACTTTATTCTTTTTACTGCATGTCCTCTGCCCTCAGACTATCCCCGTTCTCTAGCCTGCCCTCCTAAGGTGCTGTGTCATCATTTCACTCATAGGTGTTTTCCAGCTTTCCTCAACTTGTTTCCTACCCAGCTGTTCCCACATAAATGTAAGCATAAAATTACTCTGAGTGCTGCAGGTACCCTTGGCTGATGGTTTCTCTACTCAGCCTCTTGCTTCAAATTTCAAAGATAGCTGAATGATGCTGGCTTTTCCGTTCACTCTTAGGGCAAGAATCGTGTACTTTGAGAGTATTCCTTCTAAATAGAATAATGCACTGGATGGCTTTTTAAGTCCGCAAGCTCCTCGGGGCCCTGTGTTGGATGTGAGATGCTATTAAGGTTGGGTCCATTGTACAGGAGCGAGTGGCAGTTGACCAGTTGTGTTGCTGCGGGGTGATTTCCCGTGGGGAGGGGGAGCAGAAATGGTGTCATTACTTCCTCTTGACCTGACACCACACGTCTGCACATCTCAAATCTAGTTATAAGAATCGGCGCAAGGAGAAAAATACTTGCATTAGAAACCATCCTTTCCTCCTTCTCACATAGGTATCAGTGTATTTCTTTTTACCATTGGGAACCTGCTTCGTATCTCTTGCGTTGTGTCGTCGCTTACATGGGAGGCTGCTACTTGTTTAGAATTTGTAATTCAGCTGTAGGTAGATGGAATGCCACTTGCTCGCTGCTGTCAAAACAATCTTGTCTCTGTTTTTCTGGAGGACTCGTGACTTTCATTAAAGAAAAACTGGTTATGGATGATGCTGTGTTCTTACATAAAGAATGCAGGGAAAGAGCATTGACATTTACACAGCAGTGGTGATTGCCTGCTAGTTAATACATAAAGGGAACTGTCTATAGATGGCTCTCAGATGAGGCCAAA